TCTATCTGGCAAGTGCCACTCAACCCTCTTCCAACTAATCAGAGGCACTCGTGCAGTCTAAATGTTCTCTCCTGACAGATAAATCTGTGCGACCTGAGCTTGAATATCAGACGTGTATGACTGTCAAATTACCTGCATATTCAATAATAACTTATATGAATTGAAAATAACAAGTTAATTTTTCATTTCAAAACTTTAGGAAGCTACCTGACTATCAAATAAATCATCGAGCTCATCTCTATAACTAAAGATATTTCCAACGGGCAACTCTCTTAGCCGATTCACATTCCACTTATAAGTCGCCCGTTAAACAGGCGACTAACTTCAAGTCATAAAGGCCACATCATTTTCCACGTCGTTCGTTTGATTAGACCTAAGTCGCCTTTCAAACGAGCGACTTTGCCTATTTTTAAATTCTTTCAGCACCATGCTTAATCTTATAGTTAACTCGCTCATTATGCTTACTTTGAAAATTTGCCCAAAAATATTTGTTTACTATTTTTTTCTTGAAATTAGTTTTATTAGAGAGCAATTTGCAAATAATTTTAAAACTACGATTGAAATATTTTTGTACATATCGAATTGGGCGGCTAATTAACAGTGCCTTGTATTGGATGCCCATATCCACACTCACCCATATACCCACCCATACCCAATGGGTATGGGTACGTCCATGACCTTGTGGATGGGTATGGGTGGGTACTCAACATTGAGAGATAAATCAATTTACATTTCTAATCATCATATATCTTATATTACTGCAATCATCACTACGTAGTGTGCAGCACTTAAACCACACTGCAACTACAGTAAATTCTTATATGCGGCTTGAAAGTTTGTAATCAGGGCAAAGGGAAACAAGCCTCAAGGCCATCATTCCATGGCAGACTACGTTCAAAAATCATGGAAAGTGGATGGGTATAGATGGGTTCGGCATCCCAAAAGTCACCATGGGTTAGCATGGGTGGGCAAAGCCCGTTCGAGTAAAGCATGGGTACCCAACCAAGATCGCTAATTAATCTCTTTCACGTACAAAAATACCATTTCCCTTCACAGAAATAATTATGTGGTATGGAAGAATAGAGTTGTGAAAATTTAAACACTAACTCTTTGATTGTTTTGGTCGTTAGTAATCAGCGGAAGGGATATACTAATTTTACAAATAATTTTGGATATATCAAACTCAAACAAGCAACACAAAGGGTGGTTAGGAAGCTCCGCCAAAATAATTACTTCCTTAAAACCGTCTTTCACAAGTAAATACTCAGTTGTAAGTATTTGCTTAATATTTATAAATACGTAGTAAATACAGACGTTTCTCAAAGAAAAAATTATTCTGTGAGTATTTGCTAGACAAAGAATGTATTACATTTTTATAATATATCATCATCAAAATATTTTGACTAAAAAACTATATTATTTATGCAATGAAAAATATTGCTAATTCTTAATATAGTATGAGGATCTGTCAACATTCCTCGTAAAATTTGCATTTCTATCACTGCAGGAAAATTAAACATTTTTCATAGATTTTTCGTCGAAAATCACCCAATTTCCGTCGAAAATGAATATTTCCAAAGGATTTCCGAAATTTAATGTAGGTCAGACATGATGAGGCTTCCATGACAATGATTGACCTTAAGACAACAGTCAACATATATCTCATAGATCATTCATATCATCCTCTGTAATTTCTAGTCACATAATGTTGTAGGAATGTCACTGAAATTTATGATATCATCAATGGATGATGTTATGTGTAATCATTCTGAAGCATTGACATTCTGCACAAAGATGCACATCAATTTTCCACTGGAAGCATTTGATTATTATGGATATTGTCATATTGAAATACTTTTGCGCATTATACATGATAACATCATATGATATGCTTCTACATAAGAACTAAGTTTTCCAACAGAAGTTGAAGATTACTGGTGAAGGACAAATGTTTGATATTTTCATATTTTTATATTATTTGATGTGATATTAAATCAAATACTCTCATTTGCTTTAATATAAACAAACTCTTCTTCATAGGCTGTGATGCAAGAAAGTAAAAGTGACATTATTTGGCAGCCACCATAAAATTGTGGGCCGTTGTGATGAGTGCAGCTAAAAATTTCATGCAAAAGAAGTTAAACTACTTTGTTTTTTTGGCTAAAGCAATGCTTCCTACATTCCTAGAATCAACACATTTTAACACGGAATGCCTAACTTGATGATTTAATGGCGAATTTCAGTCCAAAAACTGTACAACAATAATATCAAGCCTTGGCCCCACTACGTGGGTCGGCTACATGAATAATTTTTCGCCATTGTGTCCTATTAAAAGTTAAATTCTTATTTAAATCTAATAAAGAAAGATCATTTCTAATATTTTCTAACAAAATTTTTTTAGGTCTACCTCTACTTTCTTAACATAAGTCAAATCTAATACCCCAACTTTTCTAACCGGGTCATTGGAAGGCCTCTGTTTAATGTGACCAAACCATCTAGGGCGACTCTCTCTAATCTTATCTTGCACTGGAGCTACTCCAACCTTATCACTTATATGCTCATTTCGTATCCTATCTCTAAGGGTAAATCCACTCATCCACCTAAGCATCCCCATCTCTGCAACACTTAACTTTGTATTATACTTTTCTTTTAATGTCCAACTTTCAGCACCATAAAGCATTACAGCCTACACGGTCTCACCATCATCTTGTAGAATTTACCCTTAAGTTTGAGGGGGACTTTTCTATCGCACAACAAGCCTTGTGCATTCCACTTCAACCATCCAACTTGAATTCTGCTGATAATATCCCCATCTATTTCACTATCACCATGAACAATATATCCAAGATATTTAAAATGTGTACTCTTATTAATGACTTGATCGCCCAAAGTCACAATCCTCTCACAAGGTCTATTACTAGTAAAATTACACTCCATATATTCAGTTTTTAGATCTACTCAAGCGAAAACCTTTTGACTCTAATGTTGACCTCCATAATTCAAGTTTACCTTCAACTCCCGCTCTAGTCTTATCAACAAGAAGAATATCAGTCAAAAAAACTGTGAAATTAAAAGAACATCAGTCCAAAAACTGTGAAATTAAAAAAAAAAAATCTTGAATTTACTTTTAGCACAGGAACGGTAAGTATTGATATAATGATAATTTGCCTTTCGGGATAGATTTAATTTTTCTATTAGTGAGGTACAAAGAAGATTTGATTTGAATCTAATTTAATGATGGATCTTTTTTGATGATCGCTAATGCTTTGATTTCTTTCTTCTTCCTTGAAATTATCTTAAGAATTATGTACTATGTTTAATTTGAGACAGTTAGAAAGAGAAAGGAGGTATAATATGACTTCTTAGAAAATGTATTACTGTACAATAGCTAGAAGAAAGAAAAAGAGAACAATTTTTGTTAAGAGATAGAAATGGAAGGATTATAATTTAGGATTTTTTAGTAGAGGAATGGAAGCTTCATGAAGGAGACAGAAAACTCGTTGGGAGGTGAGGAGAAAGAAGAGAAAATGAATAGAAGAATCTTTTAATATTCATTCATAATTTAATAATCCAAACATTATCTATAAAATATGATTATAAGATAAAATTAAAGTAAGTCGAATTTCAATCTTTATAAATTCTTTAATTTTTATCATCTGAATTTAAAATGAAGATAATCCTAACAATAAAACAAAATAAAATAAAGATAAATTCATAAGTAATTCATAATACTTAAATATTTAGAAATAATAATTTTGTACTACAACAGCATCCCTGATGTTCGTATAACTCTTCCCCTAAAGAGTTCTGTAAGATGCCTTTTCTCGGAAGTTAGTTTTCATTGTGAAAGAGGAGGTGGTGGAACTAACTCTTAAATATCTTTTCCAACAACAAAATATATCTCAATATCGATAATAGGGACACACAAATCTTTGACTTAGAAATATTTCTTCCTTGGTAAATATCAATATATATCCAATGGTCTGATTTTGTAATTACATTTGGAATGAAGAAAACAAATAATCATGAGGGTCAAATCTAGAAATAGAAAAGAGTGGCAACTAATGAAGATTCCAATCCTCTGAGAGAAGCTATGAGTCCAACAAGGAAAAGGCATCAGGAGAGAAGCTATTTATTAGTATTACAATAAAGTGGGTGTTCATAGCTTTGTGCTTCCATTTTGAAGTTTTTGTAGACCTTGTTTCCCTAATTTACAATGCATAATATAGCTGCAAGATGAATAGGAACACCGCATGATAAACACACACACACACAGATATATATACATACTAAATTAAGATACTGAAAAATATTTTGATGTTAGTTGTAAATCCTAAATTAACATGGAAATAGAAGAATACTATTTCCTGTTGTGTGTGATGTTGTAAGGAAGTGTGAAGAGGAGGAAAAATACCTCACTAAATTTGACTTCATCAAGGCTTGAAGCAGTTTGTAGTAATGCCTCACGTCCTATAACAATATATACCCATCCTAATTCTATCCAGTAGTATGCAACTGACATTCTTGAGGATCATTTAATCCAATCATACAAATCCTTTTGTTTAACATCCACTACTTATACTAAGCAAAGATACATGTTAGTAAGCTAGTTCTACTATCAGATTCCAAAATATGGTCGCCAAAATTTAGAGCCATTATAGGGTTGGAAGGGATAGCTCATGGCACAAAACAATCATCAAATTTGTGATTCTTTCCAAATTTCTTAAGAAATTGTGAGCCACCACTTCAATCATGTTCTTCAACAAATTTTTTCATAAGTTGAGCACATAAAGCAAATCATACCAACCCCATATCCAAGGCAATAAATGTCATCCTTTGTTTAAGATGCCATTAAGGTCATCAATGGTTCATATATAAATATCAAAACCATTATCATAGTAGAAAGGGCTTTGCAACCCAAAATTTCATAGCCACAATCTCATATGACAAGCAATGAATGCTCAGCTGTTTATATGTGAGCAATAAAAAGATCTAGAGAATGAAAATTCAAATCCAAGTCGGCACTTTGAATAAATTTAGTATGTCGCATCACAGTAAAATAGATAAGATAATCACAGTCGAAATCATCCGTAACTTACGATGAACATAATAGATTTATATACCTCGTTTTGGAAATAAACTAATTCTTTCAACATTCAAACATAGAAGCGAGATTCACCTTATTAATTCATAATTTACTTAGTTTTCTAGCACTTGGCGACGTTGGCGTAATCATGACCATCGGCTATCTGGACACCACCGCTCCTGGCCCACTTGAACGTCCCGCTCCCAGCGACGAGATACCCAACGGCATGTCCAACAACGGCGGCGATTAGAACTCCGACGTTAAACGACATTACGGCAAGCATCACCAGGTAGAGCAACCCCATCCGCAGAGTGTGGAGAGCGGTGAGGGCGAGCCCAATAGAAGCCCGGGCGCCAGCGGACGCGGCGAGAGGCTGGGCGTGGCGGCGGGAGAGGGTGGAGAGGCACTCCTCAGCGGCAGCAGCGATGGCGACGAGGAAGAGGGCAAGGAAATAGACGCCAAGGCCGCGGTCGCCGGGCCAGCCCGAGAAGAGGATCTGGACCCTATCG